GTTTTCCCGAATATCAAGGGTTTGGCGTGCCAATATTGTGTCGCAGTGCTTTCTTGACAACGGCTCGGGGATACGGCAAGCTCTCCAATTTCGCTAGTGAAACAGCCTCATTTAGGTCTGGAATCGCAGCCAAGAGCTCATCACACAGCTTACGCAGTCTTTCTGGCTGACAAAGGAGATGAAAAGCAGCCAGAGTCGATGCCCAGGACAATGTTCAAGTTCCGCCTTGGGCGAGGATCTGGCCCTCTTGGGCAGCCGAGACGGGTTTTTTTCTTAGGTTGCAAGAGGTTTGGGAATAGTATTTCGTGAAAGAGAGTCGGGTGGCTGACGTCCAACTGCGACTTTGTGTTCTCCGTGGCTATTATATCTCGAATCAGGCCGTAGATATCATTCTTCATTGTGAAAAAAAAAGCCTCGCCAACCCAACGCTTCCCACTGTAAACGTCGCGTTCAAAGGGAAACCATGACATCATACCGGGAACCCAGCGGCTGGAAAAGAATTCAGGCAGACAGTTGACAGTGGCCACTGCCCAGTTCATGTGCTTGATGAACGGTCACATGTGAGTCCCAGTCCATGGGTTGTCAGTGACTTCGGCACCAAAGTCTGGCTCTTCGACTACTATGAGTTAGTGGTTGTGTTTGCTACTCTAATTCCCATGCACGCACCAAGATGATCGCATCTGGCAAACGAATATTAATTGATGAAGTCTGCAAGTCATGTTTAACCTCCATCAAACTGCCAGAGACTTCGGTGTCATACCGTTTGTAACCGCTGAGAATGTGTGCATGATGTTTAGTGACAGACCATTTTGTTTCTTTGCGTATCGTGTGAGGGCTTCCAAAAGCGCATTCACGCCCTCTTCCAAGATTGGCTGTAGGCTACGAACGCTCTGGCTTGAAGAGAATGGATTTAAGGTGCTTTGTCGCAACTTGTAATGGTGATGATGGAGTGTAGATATGTAACTATGTTTATGCTGCCAGATCAATGGAAGTAAGCTCCAGCGAACGGTCATCGGCATACAAGAAGCACCAAACTGTGTACACCCGGTCATTCAACTGTTCTAAGGCACAAAAGAAACAAAATATGTGCAATGCCAGTCTCGCATAGAAGCCTCATTTGTCCCATGGATTGGTCGGTAGAGATGGGAGTGAAAGTCGGGATTCGACACGTGCACCTCCCACGGACTGATGCGAACGACACCGGCGTAGCGTGTTATGCAATTCGATAATCTTGCATGTGGATTGGCCTCCAAGCACGATGTCAAAGTAGAACTTGTAGACGTGCGTCAGGGCAGCCAACTGAGGCCCTGGGAAGTGAGTAATTAGGCTAAACCAGAGTCTATCGTTGGCGATGGCCGCCGCATAGGCAATCATTTATCTTCTTTTCTTTATTTGCTGACAACATATCGCGGTAAGAGGCAGTAGTGGTATTCTTGCTTAGACAGCGGCTTCCAAATCCTTGTGTACGTCATTGACACCCTCTCACGATTGGCAGATATAGGTCAAACTGAATAGTAGGTTGATTCTTGATTGAATCTTCCGTCTGTAGAACGCGCGTCTCTTTGATAATTGATCAATAAGTTAGCTTATGTGGTAAGCCGGATTTTTCTTGCTTATCAGCTCCCTACCCTATTTCTTTAAAGCCGTTATATTCAGTAAAAGACAAAAGCTTGAATATCACACCATGACGTATCGTCACTCAGTATTTTGATCATTCGAATAAAATGTTCAATAACCTCCTACTACCTAAAATTTACACTCTAGTAGGTACGGTACTGGGTGGAATGAAGAATGTGGCATAGGGTGAGTCTTTTCTGGATTGGTAGAGCTCGGCGCTATAGGGAAGTTGTGCAACTCGGCGGCATGAACCATGTGCAAATTGACCAAATAAACCAGGCTTTGAATCTGGCACGTATCAACAAGCACTTTTGCTATATCTGGTGTGCCGTGGCCTTGATCTTGCCATGTGAACGAGTGAGCCACCAATCAGACTCCATATCTGGCTTTTCTCCAGTCAATAGGTTTCGATTCAGCCTTGCAAGGTTCAGATTGGCAGCTGGTGAACCAGGAACCTGTCAACTGCGCCGTCGACCTCTGGCGTTAATTCCCTATGTAGCCAGATATATTCAATCCAGGGCCGGTCCACACTCATGCAAAACATAGTTGCCAATCGTGACATAGCAGATTAACCCTTCTATTTGCCTATGGGTTAAATGAGAGTTCTCTCAGAAATCATGCAGCGCTATGAGAGCAATCAAAGTCCCAAGTGAATGACTCGCTATCATATGTGATGTGTGACGTAGCATTGATGTCCGCGCAGTCCTTTCCACGAAGATACGTGCATAGTAGCATAAAATATGACAATATGATTCAATCTAGCTGCATGTATAGAGTAATTTAGACACGGTGTGCTAAGATTGGCCCCTCATGGCGAGAGAAGTAATACCAGCGATTCGCTTTCCGGGTGCCGCTCTCCAATGCCTTGCTGTCAGGCACTTTGGGCGGTATGCATGGACTCCCCTTGTAACGCAAATATTAAATATAGTGCTTATAGCGTTTAATGATTCGTAAACGGCTGACAGAAGCCCGAGCAAAAAATGTGTGGCGATCTATTGGATGATGCAACAGCGACTGCGACATAATTTCTTCTCTCGCTATTTTAATAACATGGAGCAGAAGGATTTGATAGGACACGCACGACCCCGTCAGCCTGGTATGTATGTTTGAGTTGCATGCGGACTTGACAGCCAAGCCGGGTGATGTTTATTGCTCGCAACCCGCTCTAGAAGGAAGTGTCTGGTCGCGCAAACATGACAGGAACAAGGAGCAACCCCAAATGATTATCATTTTCTCTGTGGAGGAAATGATTCGCAGGATAACAGAGCTCTACCAGTGGGAGAAAGTGGGAGAAAGTGGGACCATTGATGATTTCCCAAAGCAGGCGCGCAGGGGCTGCGCACATTCTTCCGCACGCGCAACGCATGATCAATACTAATTAAACAAATGACTCGATGATTCCATTCGAGGAGATGACCGACGCTTGTGCCTGGGAGCAATAGCATTCGCATATTAATTCATCCGACTCGAGTCGTGCTATTTGCACGGCGCTAAGCTGTTTTTGTGTTGGCGGCCTTGGTCACACCCATGCTCGCGCCCGCTTTTTTAAAAACTTGACATTGTTTTCAAGCCATTCTTGAACAACTTGAGAGCAGTCAAGACCAAGCACAGCTTAAGTCGCATAAATCGCCATTTCCGCTTCCTTTAGGGGATATTTATACCATTCAAAGCCTTTTCATTACTCTGCCACTACTGTCGGCGCTGCTCGGACCCTAGAAGGGTTATCCATCCGAGAAGCGACGGCTCTTCCGGCTGCGGTTCAGGGATACGTAGTCGTTTCCCCGATTTCTGGAGACCCTACTCCGCACTGCTCCTCCTCCTACTTGCTCTGTGGCATGTCCACCGGTTAGTCATGTTGGTGGTTGAGGTTGTGCGTAATTTGCAGAGTTATCCGACTGCTACGGCAAGAGTATCGCGAGGGTTGCGCCGCGACATCTGGAACCTTCAACTAGCTCCGCTTGTGTTGTTGGATTGACTCATACGTGATAACCAAAGAGTCTAACTGAAGACGCTACCCTGAGCCACGTCCTATTCTCCCCCAAAAGCACAATGTGGCGGGAGTCTCCCTTCATCCGCGTCATGTGGGCTTCCGTATTAGGACGCCGGGCAGGGTTACCCTAGCTGGCGATGATGGCATCTACCGAAATTCCGCCACCTTCTGGCCACATTTGGCCAGATGGGATGAGTGAGTGTGGGGTTGAATGACAGAGTGAGCAGAATCTTGGCCGATGGGCGTCTTGGGAGGGAGTAGCAAAGTACGTACAAACATAAAAACCGTGCGCCTTGCTAGCCATCCCTTGCGCCATGCTTATAAAGTAATCCCATGGTGCCGAGCTGGACAGGGGGACCATGAGTATGAGCAGAATAAAGTTGGACCAGACACGTTTTCCCCATTGGCTCACATTGCTCGGAACAAGGCGATGAGTACTACGCTCCACAACCGCGTTTGCAGCGCTAACGTCTTTAGCATGGCTAATATAGAAATAGTGTGTTGGTAGGATGGCAAGATGTAAGTCACTAGGTAGTTCTGAATAGGTTCTCAACCGCCGTAGTAGAAACAGAAGATGCCGTGCGTGCTTAAACAAGGGCGGACGGGGTTTCCAAAATGTCGGTCAATCTATGTACCGTCGAGCCTGCGGTTTATTCCCATCACCATAAGAGGATCTGGATTGCCCAGAGGAGACTCGTTGTGGGCTGTCAATTTATCCCACAGCTTCCATGGCCACCTTCAAATTACATTGCTGACGCGTGACGATCCATCTCAGCATACACAAACAGATCCATTCAATGTAAAAATGTCAAAGAGTATTCAGCCCGAATCTCTTGCATTGTCACGTATACTAGTACATACGAAAATAGTAGAACACAACCAGGCACCTATTCTAAAAGGTGGATCAAGAAAAAAACATCATCTCACAGCAAGGCGGATGCCAAAGATGAACCGCGCGTTGCCTCACTCCACACCAACTCAAACCCTGCAAGGCGCGGCCTGTGTCCTAGAATACATATGTGCAGTATACATGATAGAGTCTATTACTGAAAAGGGGAAAATGGAGCCCAGAATGTCAATAGCATCAGGCCATGGCTTGGCGGTTGACCAGGGGCTGCCAAGTCCCGCTGACTCTTGACCAAGATTTCGATTCATGCAGGCCCCAATAGCGCAAATGATTGTGGGGATGACGCCAGTGCAAGCAGGAATGCAGGTACAAGTTTGTATAATTCTTCTGAAATATATATATCAGTAGTGACTCCGGCAATCCGTACCATCTTGCACCACCAGACCAGCTGTTCATGGAACATCACACTCGCTGACTCTGGACACCAACTGTATTCACTCGCTAATTCGTTCCTGGCTCAAATTCTTTTCCGTTCCCTAGACCATCATGCGTGAACTTTCTTCGGTTCTCGCCCTTTCGGGCTTGCTGGCCCTGGCGTCGGCACAGGATCCTGCCGCCCTGCTCAACTCGGTGTGCTTCCCCAGCGGACAACTCAAAAACACCATCCCGTATCCGTGCCCGGGAATCGCCAATGCCAAGGATCAATGCAGCCAGTTCCTCCCTGGTCCCAACGCGAGCCCTGATCAGATCAAGAAGCACCGTGACTGCCTGTGCTTTGACCAGAAGATTATCCAGTTCGAGAAGGGCTGCACTGCTTGCAAGAAGACACACGCCTTCCTCAGCAAGAGGGGCGAAGGCTACTGGAACGGAATTTTGGATCGTGTCTACTCCGACTACTGCCAGGCCGAAAGCCCAACCGCCGCATACGATGCTTCGTGGGCTTCCGCGTCCCAGGCTGCTGGTCCGTATCCCACCGGCGGACCCGACGATGTACTCACCAACTATGCCAAGGATCTGCCCGCCGACGAGAAGACAAAGGTTGAACTCTACTGGAAGGGCACTACCGAGGAGAAGCGTCCCTCGGCCACTGCCACGCCAACTTCCGTGTCGACCAGTGCTGCCGCTACCCCCACGCTGGTTGACGATGATGATGAGTGGTGCGACGACGAGGAGACTACTTCCGCCTCCGCCGGTTCTGCCGCCGCGACTACCGCCAGCCCCAACACCGCCGTCTCCGGCAGCACCCAGCCTACTCCTGTCCTGAACGACGACTGGATCACTGCCTCTGCCAAGGAGGACCCTTCTGCCAGCACCGTCCGTCCCCCCCAGCCCAGCCAGTCTGGCTGGACTAAGCAGAACGAGACTTCCCCTGCCCCGGCCACCGAGACTGTCTACATTGACCGTGTCGTCATTGTCAAGGTTTGCCAGAAGTGCGTCTATGCCAAGTCCGACAACGGCGACTTCAAGCTGGCCTGCTCCAACCCCATGGAAATCGAGGGCACCAAGAAGCAGGTCCCTGTCGAGGAGGCCAAGCATCTGCCTGCTGTCCCTGTCGCTCTTCCCAAAGAGCCCGTCTCTGTAGAGCAGAAGAAGCAGATCACCGTTCCGGATACCATCATCCAGCAGGTTTGCGGGTGCTCTTACACCTCGGGCCCCGGCTCCAACGGCAATGGTGCCAATGGTTCCAACCCTGGAAGCTCCAAGAACCCTGGCTCCGGCCCTGATAGCCCCAAGAACAACGGCCCTACCGGCTCCAATGGCTCCAATGGCCCCAACAGCTCTGGCAATGAGGGCCCCAACGGTTCCAATGGCAAGCCCGGCTCTGGCAACAATGGTGCCAACGGTTCCAACGGTCCTAACGGCTCTACTGGCTCTGGCCCTGATAGCCCCAAGAACAATGGCTCCAACGGCTCCAACGGTCCTAACGGCTCTACTGGTTCTCCTGCTGGCCCTGGCAATGAGGGTGCCAATGGTTCCAACGGTCCTAACGGCTCTACTGGCTCTCCTTCTGGCCTTGGCAACGAGGGCGCCAATGGTTCCAACGGCAAGCCCGGCTCTGGCAACAATGGTGCCATCGGTGCCAACCCCGGCAGCCCCAACGCTCCCGGCTCCGGCAACACCGGTGCTGGCTCTGATGCCGGCAGCCCCAAGAATCCCGGCTCCAACGGTTCCAACGGCCCCAACAATGCCGGCTCGAATGGCGTTGTTGCTCCTTCTGGCAGCAACCCCTCCAAGCCAACTCGCGTCGGGTCTGCTGGTCTGCCTTCGGGAACCAACCAGGTCCCCATTGTCAGCTCGGCATCCGGCAACATGCCGGCATCCGTGGCTATGCTCTTCCTCGCCGCCATGGCTCTTCTTATCTAATTCAGAACTGCCACGGTGGGTGAGGATGCCCCAACGGATGCAGTGACCGTTAATGCAAGGAGTTTCTCTTTATAAAGAGGTTCGGACTGGAAATAGGTAATGTTTACTGATCGCCACGGTTGTACCTAAGCTGTCATTGCGGCCTTTTAATAAACCTATTATATATATATGAATGAGTTTGTCTGTATTAAATAGCGTCGCTTAAATTTATCGCTTTTTACACTTTACATGTCTGGCTCTTGATGATTCCGCACTGAGAATATCTTTGTCGTAATCACGACTGGCTAGTACACCAACGCGCACATAATTATGCAGTGTTTGTCCGGCGGGATCATATCGTGCCAGTGAACTTGAACCGAGCTCGAAATTAGGCAATGCCCAAAGTCAAGCTTCGTCATCTACTGTATCCGCCGGCAGGGGTGATGAAATGACTCGTTTTGCACGCGGTTTAGCAATGCGAATGGTGTGATGCTTGTCATTGCAGCTGAAGTGGGACCTGGTAGCTGAATCCTTTGAACAAAAGAAAAAGGAGCTGGATCAATAGCTCTGGCAAAGGCTAGTCCCAATAAGGGGCCACTCTTCTGTCAATTAGACCCAGGGGGAACCACCGTGGTTGATCAGGATGTTGCTTCTATGGAGTTGTGTGGAGCAGCATGCCAATATTCAGATGGATTTAAACACAAGACTTGACAGGGTCGGCTGTGGGGTCTCATGGCCTCGGTCGAATGCCGAAGACTGTGAGGAATGCTACCTTGGCTATATGAATCCAAGATATGTTCATCTCATCAATACCATTGGGAATTGCTGGCTGATTGTGCCTTGTATTACTATGCCCTGCGCTTAACACATGGGCGCATGATTCGGTAAAGAAGACGCTCCCGATATGTATTCCAACAACGGGGGGCTCGAATTGCCTGAGACTCTGGACAATAGTTTCGGGGTTCCCGTCGAGTAGCAAAGTATAGGGACACAATCTCAGTCATTTCACCGAGTTATGCCACACTCACGCTGTTATATCGCCGCAATCCCGCATACATAAGTTGGCATGAAATAGTATAGACATGTCTACTTGTAACAGAATTCAAGACTTCGACATCACACCCGTATTCTGTAGCAAAACTATACCTTTCATAACCCTCCGCCGCATACCGCTGAACGGGTTTCTCAATTCCGATATTAGATCCATGAATATGGAAAGGAACAAGTTCCGACGGCCAGTTGTATAGAATCTCCATTTATTCCAAAGCCCCGTGTCTCCGGATAGCCGAGAGATACTTCCATGCAAATCTTCTCGCCAGCCTGGACGGTCTGCGTTCCGCCACTAGCCTCTCTCCACCTAGTTATATGTATTGACCTAATTCATGTAAAACAGCATCGAGGATATCCACTTTTCAGCTTTTCCTGTATTATTCAAGTGATCCAAGCCACAATAATTCAACCTAAATAGACTTGTTGATGTCCAAGCTGCCATGCCAAGGCCAATGACTTTTTTATCTGATGAATACCTGTGCTGTCGTTTCCTAGTCGTGGTGCACCCCTGTACAGTAGTAGTTGTTTTTTGGGGCAGGATTTTGAGCAGAAATATCAGATCATGTTTACAAGAATGCGTATTTCTCCAGGCTTTATTTCAGATTTACAATAGTCACAATCGACTCACTGATCAAGACGTCTAGCTTCGATTTGTCGCCTGTCACACGGAAATGGCGTTGGTTACACAAGGGCTACGGCCACGGGATTTAGGGCAGAAGGTCCTCACCGACTTCTTGTATAAATAGACATCTTTGGTCCCTTAAGGCCTTGAGGAAAACTAAGGACCTTTGATACCAAAGACTGTTATTAGATGAATTGAGTAAATTGCTCCAAGCCTATAGCCCTTGTTATATCGCCGGATGATCGAATAGATCGCTCTGTGGAGATTGAGTTCGGAATAACCTGCACAGCATTTCAGGGTTTTCAACCAAAATAGTGTATTCGAATTTAGACTAGAGTCAACCATGATGTTCAGTAGCTTCGTGAGATGAGCCACGGCTTTTGCGTGATAGTTGGCTATTTCGCCGCGCGATTTGATGAACAGTCGGAGGGGAGAATTTGCTTATGAAACTGCTTCTGAACCCGGTTGTCTGCAGTCGGAAAACCCACTTGCATCCAGGTGGGCAACTTGGTTTTATGGCTTGAAGGTCATCTTGCTGCTCGTCGAAGACACGTGGAATGTAACAAAATAATAGCATGGTTGCCGTGCCATGGCCAGAGATCACTTCGAGTTTGTCGAGTGAGCTCGCGCGGCCTTGAAGAACAGAAACTTTCTTCTATACTTACAGCTGTCTGAATCTCATTCTAGATACCATTTCTTGGAGCAAACCTTGACACTATTATCCACATGACGTTTGAGCTACTCTTCTTCGCGTAAATGGACCGATATGTCATGCCAGGACCTCGGTAGCAGCGAAGCTAAGAATGCATATAGTTCATCTCATGAAATGCTGCGACAGGTTGCCAGGTTTGTTATTCTGTACTTGATTATTTTTGCTGTAATCGTCTAGAGCACGCGCATAACGTTATATGCAAAATTCCTAGGGCACTGAGAAGAAGGAGAAAAATACATATAGTTGTGTTTATTTTAGATTTTATCATATATTAACACGAGCATATTCTCAATCTAGGTTAGATATACACGCATTTGGAGAATTCATTGGAAATTTACAGCCATAACGTTGGTCGGTGGCTGTGTAGCTCGAAGAATTATATGACACACGTCGCACATGCCATCAGCGCATAGAAATACTCTCATCCACTGGGATTTAATGATTTTAACACATGTTATCCATCATCTATGTTTAATTATTGTTTACTTACGATTAATAATTTTTAAATGGACCAAAATAGCTCAAGCGGCGTTACAACATGTCCTTGAACCAGCCCGTGGTGCGCTTTCGAGAACAGATACGTACCAAGTGATTCGTGCAAGAATCAAAGGTTTTGGGAGCCATGAGATGAGAAGAAGTCAAGGCGAAACATAGGAGACCAATCAAAAAGAGGTAAATTTCTTCATGCGTTATTTTCAAGGCACAACAGATATTAGCCGTCAACGGTTCCATAGGGCTGAGTCTAGTTAAATTCTCCCCCTCCAGTCTTTTCTTCTAGCTAATAGAATTCTATCAACTGCCACATAGGGCCCCACCATTGATTGTCTTTAGACAGGGGGATGTCAAATCTTGGGGTAAAGACTCCCAACCCACTCCTTGATGTAGACATGGCTTTGGTCATATCTTCAAATTCCTGTTCATACTGCTACTCATTGCCAGTACATTATACGGCGGGAGCGTCTTGGTATTAGATATTGAAAAGCCTAGCCAGGTTCATACTCTCACCATGCGTCAATTTGGCTCCGACACAGGAGACAACACTGCGCCTGACTCGGACGTCTATAGCCCTGCAAGTGGCGGCATGCATTCGGACCAAGATCGACAACGTGGCGGTCTGGGGCTGTTATAGCTTTGAAAGACACAGATGCGAAGATGCGCACAAAACTAATCCTAGCTATGAAGATGGCTTGATTGTCCGCTGTCAAAATGTAGATGACCCCGGCGGATGAAATCAACTGACTCGTTTTGTTTTCGAAATTTGCGGTCAAAGTCTATTTGGGCTCTGCTACTCTTGCAAATAATCTACATTACCCATCCGCCATCCCGGTTGATGCTTGGGCCATGATCACCAAAGCCATCTTCCACGGACCGCCATTGACAGCCCAGCCTTGTGTTCGACATGAGTATAGGACCCTCTTTTGCTTTTAGCCGTTGCTGGAATGTGGCTACTGTTTGACATGGAATACAAGATATTTACCGCGCTTCATCTTGCAAGTGTCAAGGCGCTATTCCTAAATTCACCCGCTAGTAGTACTGTGACTGCCATGCCGCGTATATATCTCCAAGCCAGGTTAACGAGGCCCCATGGCAAGCTAAACGTCGTGTCGATAGCCCTTCTCGATCTCTCAGCTCGACCTGGTGCAGAAAAACTCTACGGTTTGAGCCTCGGACGCTGCCATCTTACCAAGAAACTCAACAACCATGGTGAAGCTCAGCGAGGACCAACTCAACGCTATTAGCATTATCGAGCGGGTGTGTTCGGTGCCATCTCTCCTGGGATGTGTCTTCATCATCGCCACCTTCTGCATGTCAAGCGCCTTCCACAAACCCATCAACCGACTCGTTTTCTACGCTTCCTTCGGCAACATGCTGGCCAACGTCGGCACGCTCATGTCCCTATCTTACTTGAACAATCTCGACTCGTTTGGGTGCCAGTTTCAGGCTTTCTTGCTCCAACTGTGCGTAATCCAAGACTACATACAATGGCTGCTTCATGCTGACAACCCTCCCCAGCTTCACCCCTGCGGATGCCTTCTGGACGTTGGCCATGGCCATCAACGTGTATCTCACGTTTTACCACAAGTTTGATGCGCAGCGCCTACGCAAGATGGAACTGTGGTATTTGATTGGCTGCTACGGGGTTCCCTTTGTTCCCGCCTTTACCTACATATTCGCCCGGAATAAGTTGGGACAGCGCATCTACGGAAACGCAACGCTGTGGTGCTGGGTGTCGACCGACTACGATGCCCTCCGTGTTGCCACGTTATATGCTCCAGTGTGGTGAGTTTTGCTAGTTTAGACAGTGTGCACTTTGCCAATGCTAACGATGTACTTGCAAAGGATTGCCATCCTCATCACCTTCTCTATTTACATACGCGCCGGTCGCACGATTTACGAGAAACGCAAACAGCTGCACGACTTTCACTCGTCGGATCCCGACCCCTTGTCTGTAGACGGCGAGGCTCTAGCCACGGTCAAGAGAACAGAAGTCATGGTGACCAGCGAGGCTGTCGGCGAGCCTGGAATCGCTCTTGGCCCCCTGCCACGTCGCGATTCTTCTTCGGCAGACGACCCCCAAAGTGCCAGCGCCGCATACTCGGTCCATATATCTGCCAACAACTCCACGGTCTCTGACGGCAAGCCTGTACTTGCCATTCCGGGGACAACCATTCACCACGCGAGCACTGTACAGATTGCGTCGCACAGACTTTCTAAGCCCGCTCGACGACATATCCATGAGCTCAATAATGCGGCGTGGTCCTATACTAAATGCGCTATTCTGTTCTTTACCGCTCTCCTGATTACATGGATCCCATCAAGCGCCAACCGAGTCTACTCTGCTGTTCACCCGGGAGATGTCTCTGTTCCGCTCCAGTTTATGAGCGCCTTTGTCCTACCACTCCAGGGATTCTGGAATGCCGTCATATATGCAGTCACATCGTGGGGAGCGTGCAAGAATGTGCTTCACGACTGGAAGTTTGGCTGGAGGCAAGCTGTTTCCCAAGGTATGGGAGCAAACGATGCAACTGGCCGCAATAACCGGCGTTACGAAACCCAGTTCAAGTCACCGGCAAGGGCTCACATAACGTGGGAGTCGGAGAGCGTGACTGAACTTGCCAGGGCCACAACGAATTCGGCTGAAGGACGGGGAAATTATTGAAGTAGCTCGTCCATTCATGCACTTTTTCTGTTTCTTCCGAATATAGGTGGCCTTTTTGTGACTGCCGCTTTAGTTTTGTTGCTAATCTCTACGAAAACCAAGCTCAAGGATTCCGTTTATTAGCGTTTCAGATATCTTACTAATACGGTATACTTCCTTTCATGTTTGAGATGTCGGTAATATTGTAGATTTCCTGAAACAAAGCCAGGATTTTATCATGTTTTTATAATTATAAAGCCTGCCATATTGAACAGTGTACGGCGGTAAGCCTCTAGTTTAACTATTGTGAAATGTATTTGCAGACCAAGGCCGAGAAAGGAACACAGACAAGATGGCTCCGTTCAAGATGTAGTTTGCTTATCGATCTATTACTAGAAGTTTATCGTGCTCACTTTGTAGTGCCAGGTGAACTTATTACGGCCCAGGACCTGGATTAGGGCCCCCCATAGGGTTTGGAGGCACCAAGGATTTTTCCGATATTCCGTTGTGTTATGTATAGCGCGCTAGTTCCTCCGGACCAGGTAAACGGTCCGGAAGAAGAAGAAAAGAATGGCAACTTCCCATCTTTAGCGCCCTCTTACAGTGTAGACCCGGCCTAGTGAGATGGTATTGTGGGTTCTTCAAATTGGTCAATGGTATTCGGACCGAGTGACGCTGGGACTTGTTCGTTGGCCACACCATGTATTAGCTCATCTATACATATAGTGCCGGCGTCAACTACCGACCGCATGAGGTCATGGACAGCTGTGATTAGGGTCGCGGCCAGCTCCCATGCAGTCATTGACAATAGATGCCTCTAGTAATGGCCATCGGCGGGAGTGTATGTTAATAGATGGTGTTTCCCCTTTGCCATCTTCCGTTTCAGATCTCGCAGATGCGATGTGGAAGGTTTCTGAACGCTGCGACAGGCAGCACACGGCGTCTCCGGATTACGTTTTGCTATATCCACATGGATCAATCATCAACAAAAGGGATGCCGAATCGCGGTACTGATCGTCGCGGGAAGCGTGGGCCAGCCCGCATCTTACCGGAGAGTGGCAATTCCACCACTCATTGTTCTGAAAAGCCAATGTTCCATACATCTTCGACCCATATGGGCGGGTTTTCTAGTCCATGCTAACCTCTTTTGCGGAGCGACGTGGTAGAGGGCGCTTCTTGGCAGCTTACTCGGTACGTCATTGTAAGTGGTATTGGTAGGAAAGACAATTTCAACGAGGCAGTTGCGCGCCCGGAATGGTAACAAGGCTTCTCTTGGACGGGAATATAAAAGCAACATATAACATCAATACATTGATGTGTGGTCGATACCCATAAGCATCTCCTGCAACGGTCCTACCAACTCAGCCCTGTCCGCCTTGTACAATGGCCCCCTTCAAGACGATTCTCACATTGGCTTTGGCCTCGACAGCCCAAGCAGGCATTACAGTCGTCTGGCAAGGCGGCAGCTGTTCCAATCCAACCGGCCCAACCATTGACATTAGCCCCGAGGGAGTCAATACCTGCACACTCTACAACTTCTTCCCCAACAACGACCCCAGGGGCCACGTCACCGTCACCACGAGCGGTGGTCCCAACGGCGTTGCCATTTTCCAGCTCCCGCAGAGCCAGGAAGACCAGCACATCCAGTGCGGTTCTTTACAGGGCATCTTCCACCAGTCGGGATGCTACGACTCCGTCACGCCCGCGCTGGATGTCGTCACCGCCGAGTGCGACCAAACGGGCTGTAATAACCTGGCCGGCATCCCGTCAGGCAAGCTAGTGGCATCCATTTCGTCCACTCCAGCCAAGAGGGCAAAGCGCGGCTCACAGGGCAGCTTCACGTCTCGACGACGAGACTCGTGCAGCGGGTCGACGAGTGTGACGTGCGACGACTGCGTTAGCTGTCTCGCCCAGGGTGCTCGGGTTTCGCCCTTCATCAGCTGCCCCGGCCAAGGCAACTCGTGCTCCGTCCAGCTGTCCCACTCGGTCACGGTGACGGATTCCTTCAGCATGTCTGTCGGCGCTGCGGACGTATTCACCGCCTCGGTGGACGTCTCTCACTCCATTGCCGTGACAAACGGCGACTCGGAAACCTTTACGGTTAGTCCTGGCCAGGCGGGATTTGTGCAGTACGAACCACTGGCGCAGTGCGGCACCAAGACTGTACATAACGGCGACGGCTCCGTCTGCGCGCAGGCCAAGGGTACTTTTATCCTCGATAACCAGGGCGCCGGTGGTCAACTATCGTTTGTTCGATCAAACTAGGGAGGCTTACACTTGCTGTCATGTACACTCTGTCTAGTGGATTTATTTCTATAACGTGCGTCTCTGTTGGCCATGATGACTAGGAGCAATAGGCGGCTGAGGGGTATAACATGTCTTTATCATGCGGTAGTAGATGCTCAGACGCGGGACTCAACCCACGAGCAATAGCTTTCCACACCAATCGCTTACAAGTCTATAGACATCATAATCTCTCCATCTTCATCTGGTGGCGCAATCTCCCTGAACCCCAGCTTCTCATAAAACTGGTATGGCGAGTCTTCAGGCTTGACATTCTTGAGGGGATTCTCACTACTTTTGCCCTCTGGCGGCGTGGACATGACCCCCAACGTCTTTGCCCCAGGGTTATGCTGTCGTATATGCGCCATGGCAAATTCCACGCCCCGCCGACCGTACCCGAGACTCTGATAACGGCCATCAATCATAAAGCGCCAGATGTAGTATGCCTCGTCGGGATCCCAGATGGCCATCATTAGCATACCGACAAGCGTCTCGTCGGCGTAGATGGCTCGCACCCATGCGTCTTCGGAATAGTGGGCTTCGCAGAGAGACCATACGTTGGGGGCGAGGTTGCCTTTCTGGCCGTCTTTGGGGCTGAGGTTTGCTACCGCGCGCCAATTGTCTTCGGTGACTTTGCGAAAAGTGAGGGTTGAGTCCCTGCTGGGGGGAGGACTGCTAGGAGCGGCCTCCATCGTGCTTTGTAGCGGTAGTGTAGACGAGCTACTGCCCAGAAGAATAATGGATTCCAAGAGAGTTTTATACTGCGATAAGCGTAGCCATGGCTTGCTGTATATTGCAGTTTGCAAGGTGTCAGCCTCATTTCATACGGGAAATGACTCAGCGTTTAGGCTGCTGCATGTTGTGCCTTGAGTCTGTTGTCTGCCGCCCCCAAGGCCCCATTCAAGTCATGGTATGACATCAGAGTATGACTCAACTGCATTGCATATGCATCCAGGCGGACTAATTCTGGCCTAGAGGTAGGGCTGTCTGGCGGGTCGGTTCCATCGTGTAGCTATCGACATGTATAAATTATTCTGTAATTCCCACTCATGGCCTGGAAAAAGGAGGTGAAGAAAAAGAACGACTTCCCAATTCCGCCACAGCCACATTCGAGAAGCCAATCAAATTATGTACAAGCGTCCTGACTTTGCGCGAGGTATTATTGAGATCGGGTACATGCTTTCCATTTATCTTGATGCACCCGGTAAGTACTAATTTGCAAATAAAAGACCTACTATTGGGTTTAGACAATGTCAGCAAATACTATTGCCAGTTCTATCCTAGGCAGTTCTAAACCATACGTGCATTACATGGCCAAAGTGAAGGTGCCTTGTCATTTGTACGGGTGCTTTAGAGTCGAGACTTGGCCAGTGCTTTGCCCAAGGTATATCTATCCCAATCGATATCCTTTATGCCAGCCTGAAACCGCTCCAGTCCATAAGCCGCCTCACTGTCCGGAAGCATCATGTCGTCAAAGACTCGACGGATGCCATCAGCCTGTTTGCCACCGCCTCCGCCATCTTCCCACGCCAGTCTTACGAGCTCCTTGGTCAATGACGAGGACCGCGGTGCGCAATGCTTTAGACCAATCAAGTAAGCATCAAGAGCGTCCTGTGGATTTACGCCCGGCCCAACAACCGTAGCAATTCTGCCCAATTGTACGAGTTCCTTTGCGGTAACTGAGCGAGCGGAAAGCATAGCTTCGCGCGCAAACGGAACGCCAAGCTCTCGAATCACGTATTTCGATATGGTGGCCGGCGCAAGTCCGAGCCGCACCTCTGTAAGCTTGATGCTCGCCGCGGCGGTCATCAGACGAATATCGCACGCAAATGCGAGACCTACGCCGCCGCCAAAGGCCGGGCCTTGCACGAGGGCTAGAGTAACTTGCGGCGCATGGTCAATGGCCTCAAAAAGACGAGTCAAGCGGTTGAATTGTGCGTCTGTCGTTGCACCACCTTTGGCAACTGGCGAGCTGCCCCTGCCTAGATCCATACCAGTGCAGAAATACTTGCCCTTGGCGGTTATTGCGATTCGTGTAATGGTTTGGTCGGATTTTGCAGCCTCAAAAATTTTGGTGAGTTGTTCCATCATGGCGACTGTGAGAGCATTGCCATTTTGGGGGCGGTTTAAAACGAGCTTGAGATTTGTGCCACTCCTGGATACTTGGATGCCCTTGTCTGCTGGTTTCTGCGTCCATTGCAGGCCTTCAACAGACGGCATGTCGCGAGATTTGGCGGTGCTTTTGGCCGCCCGTAGCGCATTGCCTGCCCGGCTGGAGTTGGGAGCGGAGAGCTGTTGAGAAATCCAGGCGCCTACATCGACAAGCTGCGATAGGTTTACCCCAGTGTCGATTCCGGCCGTGTGCAGCGAGTATACCAAGTCTTCGGTCGCCAGATTGCCCTTGGCACCGGGCGCGTATGGGCAACCTCCAAGTCCGGCGACGCTGCTATCAAATACTCGCACGCCGCAGTGGTACGCCGCCCAGACATTTGCCATGGCTTGGCCATATGTATCGTGGAAGTGCCCTGCAAGTTTTCCCACTGGGATACCTGCCTCGGTCAGAAACGAAACGAGGCTGCGCACCTGTGTAGGGGCGCCAACGCCAGTGGTATCGCCCAGGCTGATTTCATAGCAACCCATGTCTAGTAACTCTTTCACGCAGTGCAGCACCGCCTGGTGAGGTGTAGGCCCGTCAAAGGGACATGCAAAGATGCAGGACACATAGCTGAAACGTCTATAAGCTTTCTGACGGAAATATAAGAGTACGAGTTCGAGCAAATAGTCCAAAGCATTGCTTACCCACGCACGGAAATCCCGTGAGATAGTGCCCTCTCAGCAACCTTGCGACTGTTGTCAAGACCTTGCTGCACGCTACATTTGATGTTGGCTTGACTGAAGCCCTCTGAGGCGCTCACAAAGACTGCAACTTCCTTGACGCCGTATTGCATCGCTATATCTAGGCCTTTGATATTTGGAATAAGAACAGGCGCTCTGGTTTGGGGATGTATTTGTAAAAGTTGTTGGACTTGGGTATCCTCGAGCACGGCCTTGCCATCTGCGAGCTGGGGCACAGCACGCGGGCTGACCATGGAGGTGACCTCGATATTTTGAAGCCCCGTCGCGCATAGTTTTCTAATAAGCTCGACCTTGGTGGATGTCGGAATAATTTCCTTCACGTTTTGCAGGCCATCACGGGGCCCAACTTCGACGATTCGAACCGTACGGCTGGAATTGGCTGATGGCATGGTACGTGATGGTTTGCCGCTTGCCCTGTGCTGTCGACTTGTCATTGGACGCATGTGAGTGGTAGGCCGAGAAGGGCCCTTTGTCTCATTCAAGAACACTAGACTTATGCCGCTCCGTTTCCCTGGTACCAGCCTCATTTTGACATGAAGCATGCCGCTCCCATTAGAACGGCGGTTGCGAGCCCCGGGTAGGCCGGGACCGGGCCCACCAGCCATGTCCGTGTCCGTGTCCGTGTCCGTGCCATCCACACCGTGGTCTCCATGTCCGTCCGTAAAGCGTCCCCTGCTACATGACTATCGACATAGTATTGTTACATGAAGATTAGCTTGATTAAAGTTATAATAAAGCGCCATAGAACCTTGAATATCAACTAGAGTAGTGCATTTAAATCGTATTTGGTGGCTAAACTCGCTTCAAACTTGGTGCACCCATTTCAAACAAGTGTACATCTGCCTTCATGCGAAAGAGGTCAACGGTGCTATTATACCTGTACATGCAAAGGAAGGAGGTGCAGCAAAAAGAGAATCATGACAAAGGATCATCAGAGGACTACTCTACAAAGATTCGAAAGGTCAAAAGCCCGTTTCTTTAATTAAACTCGCAGGCTAGAGAATGACTATATTCAAAAGTCTAAAAGCCATAAAAGATTACAGGGGATAGGAATAATCATCTGTGGTAACGTAATGAACAATCAACCACCTTGGTCCTGAGTTGCTTAGTATTTCAGCGACCCGGGATGCAGACCAAGGGCGCAAATCAAGACATGCCAACTCATCCCGCGCCATTCAACTGGCCTAGGAAAGGCCTATGTAACTTGTCGCATATTTGTATCAAATCTCTCAAGCTAACATTAAAGCGTTAAGCTCTCCTAATTAGGAGAACAGGGGGCTGCATTGGTTCTGCGTGCAGGAAAGACAGTTTTGGGCTAAGCAACCACTGCTTGAGTAGCACAGAAGAACACCACACACATACGGCGGAGTTCTGGCGTAAAGAACCGCCGTAGGGATTCTTGGACTGCGTGGCAGCGTCTTTGGCGTTTTCATGATGAACTGCTGCCTCGGTGACAATAGCGGCCGGTGGCGACATGATGTATGCGATGCATGTTTGCTGCGAAAAGGTTTCCAAGGTGTGTTCGAGTAATCGTAAGACATATGTGGCTCTGCTGTCGAGAGAGTCTTGGGATTGTTTGATGCTCAGATGATACCAGTATCGGTCAACTTTCTAATTATTCATACTCGGTGGTGATTCTTCGTCGTACCGTAGCTATTTATCTACATGCTGACCCTTGCAAAAATACGGCTCAGTATGACAGACGTGGACAGCGCTTTGGCCGTTCTTTCGGCGCATCAAGGTTGTATGACAAACAGAGTAGATTCGAGCAGCCTCACGATTTCCTAGTTCAGGGCATCGTTCAATAGCCTGGAAGGCCAGCATCAACTGGATTTCGTCACTTTTTGTCACCATTTGTGGTTGCGTAGAAAATTGTTGCTTGAATCAGTTTTGCCATCTTGGGTGGTCGGTGGTACGTTACACAGCGTTCGGCTGAATTATTTACTACACTGTGATGAGAGTCAAGAGTCAAAAATGCGAAGGATCGTGTTGAAAGCTAAAGATTACAGTGTGGACACAAGTATTCGACTAGCCGGCGGCGTTGAACAACCCCGAAAGCATCGAATACTTATAAGCCCCTACTGTAGTATCTATCTATGAAGCGAAATCTGGGGTACCTATATGCTCCGTGGTTCACTTGACATTCATGTGATGCTTTGGTGAACCTGCGTTGCATTGCCATGGTAGCTTACTTAACTAATAAGTCTTATATTAGTAAAGCCCCTTTATTAGGCTTCACGATCAGTTAGGCCTTTTCCATGCATTATAATTGTAGGCATCATCGCTGGCAATAGATACCACATAGTTGTACGTGCATTTCGCAAGTTCGTCCTTGCGCCCTATTTTAAAACCGACGGAGATACATCCTTTAAACGCCCTACCACACTGCTCTTCGGTCACTTCGTATCTGAAACGATCCTGAAGTGCCGTCTCGTTACACAACTCACGCTGCACCTGTACTTGGGTGGCTCGCGCGTCTTCGGCCTTGGACTGCTGGGTCGGCTGCTGCGGCTGGTTTGCCCGCTGACGTAAGCTTCTGCTCCGCATTCGGCCAATAGTGTTTTTTTATAAAAAGAAAAAAACAGCTTGCGTAGTTACTTACAGTGTCTTGCGTTATACTTGCGCCCAGTTGAGATCCTTCCGTTGGCAACGATTGTGGCAAAGCCATGCCAAGTCCAATAAGGACGGTAACAGCAGTAGCTGACAGCTTCATAGTAACGTTTTAGGTGATAAGGAAGTAAGGTGAAGAAGAATCTTAGAGATGTTTTTGAATAAAGTCAAGTCAAAACTTTGCCTGGAAATGCCTGCTCTTATAGAAAATAACCACAAGTAATTTGTACAGGATTTCTATGATATAAAAGCATAATAATAAAGTGGAGTCACTTCATGCAACATTGCGTGATTAATAAATGCTTATGGGTCCCAGGATTGTAGTATTATACTGATAATAGCTAGAAAGTAGGGCCCGCTCGGGGGGGGGGATTCTTTTAATTTATTCAATGAAAAATACCTCGACTAAGGCACCAGAGCTTTGATTGTAGTGTAGTTTTGTAGTTTTTAGTAGACTGTAGTGTAGTGTAATTTTAGTGTAGTAAATTACATATTATATTTAGTGTAGTTTTTAGTAAATGTAATTTTTAGCTATTTTATAAGCTAATATTACGTAATATAATTAGTACGCTAAAATAATGCTAATTTTGCTGACTAATCCTAATATTAGTAAGCAGGGATTAGCTAGCCTAATTAGGCTAATAACAGGGATTAAAAAAAGCTAATAAAAACACTAAAAAGGGAATTATAAGGAAAATTACATTAGGTAAGCAGGTTTTATTTTGTACTATAATTATAAGTCAAATTAGCTTAATCTTATAAGGTTAAAAATATAATTAT